TTTACTACGTATATGGCGCAATTACACAACTTGCTCCAAATCCAAGAATACTCGTAAGTTGCAAGCATGTTCTTTTTAAAAAAACTATACACTTGTCTTTTGGTTTTTTTCTTGGATCTGATGTGACGTGTGATTGCGCCATGTAAATAAAAATAATCTTGCTTAAAGAGAATCTAACCTAGCCAAAGCCAAACATCGCAGAGTAGTCGATCAGCGAACCAAAAAGCGAAGGAAGTAAACCAGAGTGCAAGAATCCTGTTTGGAAAATTCTCGATGTCTGGTATTCCAGAGCTGGAATAGATGCCACACGTGAACTCATTTTTCCAGAATTTTTTTTCCAGAAAAAATGACTGACTGTTTTCCCTCGTAGTTGAGCACTAGTGCAGCTGGTACAGAGAATAACATCAAAGCGATGGCGTTCAGGGCAGGCTCCAAGAAGCAGAGTCCAGAAAATATAGCTGTCAGAATGACGACAATACGTCGGAATGTGGTCCTGAGTAGAAGTTTTTGTTCTTCTATCATCAAGCATTTCTAATTTTTTTTGACTTAGAAATTCAAAGTTTGTTGTGTAAAACTCACAGTCGCTCACTAAACTTTCTTGGGAACCATTGCATTACTGGAATATACACGACAACAAACATAGTAATAATCCATACCAGAGAGAGTTCATCTACTAATTGACCTAAAGATAAGGACTTTAAATGTAAAAATATGTAATAAAATAATATGAAGTGTTATAATACGAGAAGTAATCAGAAAACGATTCATATCAGTTCACTATTATTCAGTTTATTTCTATACTATTGAGAAACATTCATAAAGTACCCAACCAAACAATTCAAAAATTCCGAATCATTTCAAAAATTCGGAGGATTTCCACAAAGAATTAATGACTTGTATTCTGAAAATTTTAATTAAAAAAGCTAAAGTTCGAATTTAACTGGATTAACTTCAATTTTTAACGGAAATAATGTTTCCATCGTTCTGAATCGTTTTCTCTTGGAATTCCCAAAATGTCGGAGCTGAGCTATGTCAGTTTTTCTTATCTTCGTCATCATCCAGAAATAATGCTGATAAAAGCCTGAGCAATTTGGATCCACTATTCTTTTCGGATTTAAATTCATTTTCCATAGTTGTGAGGAATTTTTGTCTCATAATTACCTGCTTATAATACTTTCAC